GGGGGAGGGGGAACACATCTATGGTGGCTCTGTGCATTTATTGAACACCTATTATGTGCCAGGAAAAACCCGTGTCTTGCTGGAGCTCCAGAAGGGGACGAAGACACTGCAGACTCAAGGAGTCGTTCAGGTAGGAGAAGGTGGAAAGATGAGCAATGGCACAGTTGAGGGTGGGACCGGGAGGGAGGAGAGAGGAGATGCCCTTTTCAGAAGGAGGTGCGAGGGGAAGGTGCTACTGAGAAGGTGCTCTCGGAGGAAAGGAGGTCAGGGAATGAGCCGTGCATTGTCTGGGAGAAGAAGTCCCCAGCAGTGGCCAGCTCAGAGGTCCGAGAGAGCACATCCCAGCCTGTCCAAGGCACAGGGAAAGAGGGCGGTGTGGCAGGACCTGAGAGACGAGGGGAGGAAGGTGGACAGCTCCTGAGGGACTAATCAGCTAGGGCCTTACCGGAATGTTCAAATACTATTAGTCTTGTCAACCTGGCTTTATAAGTAAAATCATTGGTTCATGAGAAGGATACTTGTCAGCTGATTTATGCTAACACATTTCTCTCACAGCAGGCTAACAGGCAAAGTAAGAAAAGACTCAGTGGCACCATATGAAAATGTAAGATTTCTCCTGAAAATGTAATATGTATGATTTCTCCTGCCACAAGTAAGCCAGGGTGCAGCCCAGCACTGCAGGAACACACATTCCTCTAGTTCTTTAATGTTTCCTCCCCCGCACTAGCATGACCCCAGTTCTACCTTACAAATCCACCTGGTACAGATAATAGCTCTTGACACATGGAATCTAGAACAGATAAACCCCTCAGGAACAGTTATGGGAGTATCGATACCATGAGGGTAGGGGGGAAGTTGGGGGACAAAGGGGTGAGACGGGAAACCGACTACAATGATGGATATATTAACCCAACCCCCACCACCACCCCAGGGAGATGAACAACAGAAACGTGGGCAAAGGAAGACAGCAGAAGGTGCAATATATGAAAATAATAATAATTTATAAATTATCAGGGGTCCATGAGGGTGGGAGGGTGGGGGAGGGAGGGAAAATGGAGGGGCTGATACCAAGGGTCCAAGCAGAAAGAAAATGTTTTGGAAATGATGATGGTGACATATGTACAAATGTGTTTGATATAATTGATACATGAATTGCTACAAGAGCTGTAAGAGCCCCCCAATAAAATGGTTTATTAATTAAAAAAAAAAAAAAGATTTCTCCTGGCAAGGGTTCCAATATTACTTACCCAAAGGACAGGGTGAACCAAACAATCGTAAGCTTGATTGTATTTTCCCTGACTGGATAGTTGAAGCATCTCATAAAAGTCAGCCAAATCTGTGGAATATTAGAGAACTTTGTTTTCTTAGGCCATTTTGTCAACCACATTCCCAACCCACTCCACCAAATTATAAAGGTTTTTTTCCTTGGCCATGAATTCATTTGAATGGAATGGGAGACATAAAACGTTAATACAAACGCTGAAGGAAATCAAATACTGGAATTTTCGTTTTTCTGTGTTTTTCTTTTTTGGAGGTCAATGATAGAGTAACACAAGATTTCAATTCCCCGGGTCACCGCCAAGCTTCTTGGCCTAGCAGCTTCCCTTCCTCCACCCTGGAATGTACCGGCTGCCCTGCTGACCACAAGGGGCTTCTATTCCTGGCCCTGGTCCAGGAAGCAGGTGGCCCAGGCAGCAGGGACTGACACGGCTCTACCCTCCTCCTGTCTATTCGCAAATCCAATGAGACTGGGCCAGTCCGGGCGGGGCTTGTCACTTACGCCGTGCAATTCAGTGCGGATTCGAACAAAACACCTCTTGTACCACGTTCCTGTGTCGCTCTCGATTTCAATCAGCTCGTCTATTTGCTTTGGGGTTTTGATCCTGTTTACCTGCAAAGAGCAGCAGAGCGTAAAGGGCCGCGTCCCCCTCGCGGAAGTTGCTGCGTTTAGGTTTACAGTTCTGAAAGAAGTGAAAGCCGACGCCAAGAAAAAGCGGGTTCTTTGATAACACAGCCCAACAACAGTAACAAAACTTTTTTGGTGTCTTAGTTTTTAGCCTTGTTCCTGGGTTATTTGAGGCACCGAGTCAGAACACTGCTTTGGATGGATCGCAGCAGCTCTAGGTTCTTAGCGCTGGGGTTCCATGGTATTGTCAGCTATTAAACAAACAAACAAACAAACAAACAGACAGACAGACAGACTCCCGCCCGCGAGCCAATGCCGCCTCCTAGTGACCCCACAGGGCAGGGAAGAACTGCCCCGGGGAGTTTCTGACATTGGCTATGGTAGCAGACAGCCTCATCTTTCTCTATCAGAGCAGCTGGTGGTTTTGAACTGTGGACCTTGTGATTCGCTGTCCAATGCATAACCAATACCCGGGGCTTCTATTTTTGCCACAAGGGCTCCTATTTTCAGCTATTAGTTTATCCTAATTTAAAATTTTTCATCCCAATTTTAAATAGATGAAGACTCTGGACCCACAAATTACAGGGAAGAAACATTTGAAAGAGAATTAGGTATTAAGGGACTTTCAAGGGAAGATGTGTATAGACCTATGGTAACTAATTGGTTACTATTGAACTGCCAATCATAAGGTCAGTCGTTCAAACCCATCAGCCACTCTGCAGCCTTTCAAAGACTTACAGGTTTGGAAACCTAAAGGGGCAGTTCTTCTCTGTCCTGTGGATAGGTCACTGTGAGTCAGAATCAACAAGATGGCAGCGGCCTTCTCTCTTTGGTATGGGGAGCTGCGCAGTATGTACAGAGACTGTAAGTTGGATTCCTGCAAAGCCACACACCACAGCTTGAGAGGTGTGAAGAACAAAAAGGCACATTGAAAAGGCACATATGTGGAAGCTGCGAGGGCAGTTGAAAATGTCCAAAATGTAAGACTTCATAGCAGCGTTCATAAATATTTTGAAGATCTAAATTTTTCTTCAAATTATGCAGTAAACATTTCAGAACACATTTTAATACACAGAAGTCAGTGGATAATTTACGTTAAATGCATCAGAGGTGAGATGGATGAGTTTCTTTATAGGATAAGTTCTCTTTTTAAAGAGGCTCAGTGCACAGATGGGGAAGTTGTGCCATATAAAAATACTGGAACGTTATACTTTTAATAGAGGAGTTTGAACTCTGATGCATTCACCTTGGGTTTCAGTACTTTTGACTCCATTTATTGTACCAGACCCACTCTCAGTCGATCGATTCTGGTTCATAGTACCTGTATGGGACAGTGTGGGACTTCGCCTTTGGGTTTCTCAGGTTGTAAATGTTTACGGGAACAGAAAGGCTCATCTATCTTTGGAATAGCTGACCTTGTGGTTAGGAGTCAAACACTTAACTCACCAGGTGAAGAGGGCTCCCTATTCAGTGTTCAGTAACTCTTATTGCTGGCCTGGAACTACCTGCTAGTCAGTTAATAAAGGTGATGTGGTACGTGGGGAAAATTTCATGTTCACCTTGTTCTGTTCTTTGCATCAAAGGACACCATGTGAAGAATAACTTGGACCTAAACATTTAGTACAACACAGACTCCTTTAACTAAAGTTAGTGTGCAGGTCCTGTATCCCAGGCTAGTTAACACCACACCCAAACCTCTTGATTGATGGGGAGGTGCAGTGGAGGGTGGTATATGGCATCTGCGCTGTATCTCCAAAACTAGAGCTGATAGAGGAAAATCACTGTCATTTTTTTTTTTCTGACTCAAAAGGTCAAATATACCCAGAAACAAATCTAACACCCGAGGCACCAAAATACATACTGGGCAATGTAACCAGTCCATATATACTGGAAACCACGGGCATACAGTGGTTTCAGTTGACAGTATACAGAGCCCAACAGCGCCTTGAGAAAATAACGGAGTGAGGAAACAGTGAAGGAGCCACAGAGAGAAAGAGAGGAAGAGCGAACCATGATGGGCTAATAGGAGGCAACAGTGCCCCCCTCGGAGCAAATGCTCACAGACCCACAGTAGCAGATGCAACATCCAGAGAGATTGCCTTCTGGATTATTAAACTATCTTCCTTAGACTCAAGTGATTGAACATGCTTTCCTTTGGAACCTGCGTACGTGAGAAACATGACCCCTGAAAAATACTCCCTCGTGATCTCATGGTCTGGAGAGTGATGCCACCCTTTGTCTCTGTGATATTTTACAACCTTTCATCTGAACCTCACATTGCAGATGTTTTAATCCCGGTGCCATTTCAGAAGTTTGGCCGAGTCCAAAGTCACACAAAAACATTCACTTACATTTTTTTCTAGAAATTCTGTAAAAAATTAAAAAAAAAAAGTTATGTTTGCTTTCTGAACAATTGTGTGTGGTCTTTTTAAATACATGGCGTGCACTATAGATTAAAGCATATTTATGTTTGGATGTCCAATTGTCAACAAAATTGGTTGGGAACACCACCTGTCCACCTGTCCTAGCCTTTGCACGCTAATAAAATCAACTGACCCTAAAACAAAACAAAAACTTCCTAATGCTTTTCCCAGGGAACCCATGCAGCACAGTGGGTTAGCCATTGGCTTGCTAACAGCAACGTCAGTAGTTTGAAATTGGCAGCCACGCTGAGGGAGAAAGAAGAAGCTTTCTACTCCCACAAAGATCTACAGTCTCAGAGACCCATAGGCACAGCACTGCTCTGCCTTCTAGGGCACCTACGAGTCAGAAGTGACTGATGGCAGGGTGGGGAGGGCGGTTGGGGTTTATTTTGGAATTCTTCCCCCATCAAACTTCTATCCTTCGAGGGTCCCTGTGAGAGACCTGGCCCTGATCTTCCATCTCCCATAATGAGAGGTCAGCAAATGTTCACAGGTGACCATGATTCAAGGTCAAGTGAATCAGTTTCAATTTCAGACACCAACACTGGTTCTTATGTGATATTTAATAAAAACAAAAACAAATAAAACCAATTGTCATCCAGGTGACTGACTCTTGAAGACCCGCCCCCCACTCCCCCACCACTATATGTCAGAGAAGAGGTGTCCTCTATAGGTGTTCAATGGCTGCTCTCCCAAAAGTGGGTCTCTGGCCCCTTAAACAAGATGCCTCTGGGTGGTCTCAAACCAACATTCACTTGGCAGCTGAGCATGCTACGGTGTGTACCACCCACGGCCTCCTCCACAGTGTGGGGGTGGTGGGGAGAGAGATAAGCCATGGAAGGTCAGCTGGAAAAGTTGCACCGATGATTCGCTAGCCTCCTTTAGCTGCCAAACCTACAAGAGAAGCAATGCTTTCAACACAGCAGACAAACCGGACATGAGAGAAAAGGAAGCCAGTTCCTCTGTGAACCTGTTCTGCCTTCCCCAGCGAATCAGCACGGAATATCTGCTTTGGATCGATCCAAGGGAGGACACACAAACATATGCACACGTATCACTTCTGCTAAGGATAACTTTCAAACAGATGTTCCTGGAAAGCCTGTTAACATCCAATGCAGCCATTCTATCTTTTAAAATTTATTTTATGAATTAGGATTAATCCACATATCAAATCATCCCATAGTTCAATCAGGTACAGCAGAATTGTACATTTGCTACCACAATCAGAATCCAAACATTCTTTTTCTATATGAACCCCTTGATGTCATCACCCCTTCACCCCCCCCCCCACCTCTGTGTGCCCCCCAACCCTGATTCCACCTGTGGAGCCTATAGGTGCCTCAGTTTGACAGAGGCAGTTTGAGGGCCTTCATTGTCTTTTGAATTCTATCAGACAGGCAGTAGCCTCTGCCTGGTTATGTATTTGACACAAAGCGTTGCTCAGTTGAACATGGGATCCAAATTCCATCAGGTCACAACCATCCATGACACTTTGTGACATTTGAACATCTCCCTCCTCCCATCCCTCCCTTTCATATCACAGAGGTGTTCTTAACACTCAACATACTACTTTTAGGGGTCTCCTCTCATTTCATTAGTGTTCACTCATTCACTCACTGGAGACATGATGTATAACCTCAGACCTTCTAAGAAGTTACCATATACAGTGGGAAGTACTCTCATATATGCCTATATACAACGGGAGAGAAACGTTGTACAGAACACTTGACTTCGGGGGCAGGGGGAAGGCTTCATGGGCGGGGAAGTTTGAGTGGAGGCTTCTGGGAAAGAAAATCTTCCATGTATGTCAACTGCTCGGAGGACATCCCAAGTGGGAGGAACAGAAAGTGCAAACACCCAGGAGTGTGAGAAAAAAGCGTCTTGGGCAACTAGGAAGAGTGGGCTACCTGAAGACAAACACAAGGTCGAAGGGTCTTCAGTGATGAAGGCTGAGCCAGAGCAGAAGCAGGACTCGCAGTGACAGCCAAAGGCGGCACGTGTCCAATTTGCACTAATGTAGCCTGACTTTCCCCAGCGAGAATGAACTTTATTTTTACAATATGGAAAAGCACCCATCCGGATGGAACACCAGTGCCAGATCATCTGGTAAAATAGCAGGTAGTAGGAACACCAGTGCCAGATCATCTGGTAAAATAGCAGGTAGTAGGAGCTGAACCTTAGTAGCCTAGTGGTTTTGTGTTGGGCTGTGATCTGAAAGGTCAGCTGTTTGAAACCACCCGCAGGTCCAAGGGAGAAGACAGGGCTTTCTACTCCCGTCCACAGTGACAGTGTCAGAAGCTCACAGAGGCAGTTCTATTCTACTCTGTCCTATCGGGTCACCAGGAGTCGGCATCCCCTCGACGGCAGCACGTTCGGTTTTGGTTTGAGGAGCTGAATGACTCGTGTCGCTGAGAGAGCAGAACTGGCACATAAGCAGGGGTCAGACAGGCAGGGCCTTGTTGGCCTGTTTGAGGATTTTTGTCTTTATGCTGAGAGCAACGAGAAGCCAGTAAAGTGTGGGTTGTGGTAGGTGCTATGTGCATGCATGTGTAATCTAATGAGATATTCATGCTGTCCAACTAGATCATGTTGAAACTACAAACTTGGATCACCTTTTTCTGGCTTCCCATATGCCTGTCTTCCTTTACCAAATTCTGATTTAATATTAATTGTTGAGCTAAGAAATGGCCACACGTGAAAAAGCAGCCATGCATGTAGAACTGTTATGGAAGACAATGTACATTATACTATTCATTGTCCCCTTCAATCAGGTCTGTGAATAAACTCCTCTCAATTTAGAACTTGAGTAAAGTTGATCTTTCCATAAAATTGATAGTTTGCATTAAATTTGAATTGAAAGTGATGTACCATAAATACTTGTGTATAAGCCGTTTTCCAGCACATTTTTAATGCAGTTTTTGTGGTAAAATTAGGTGCCTCAGCTGATATTCGGGTTGGCTTATACTCGAGTATATACGGTAATTAAAAGTCATTACATTGATCTTCAGCCTTTGTTATCCAGAAAGCTAGAGTTCCTGAGCTGGGGCAAAAGGTTTGGGCTTGACTACTAATCTAACTGTTGGCAGTTGGAATCCCCTCAGCAGTGCCACAGAAGACGGGTCTGCTGACCTGCTAATTCTGTAAGAACAGACACAAGGGCTCTGCTCTGTACCACAGGGGCTCCCGGGAGTGGGAACCACCTTGCTGCAGTGACCGTTTGGGATCTGGAAATACAAAGCTTAGTTTTAGGCGCAGTTACTTTGCTTTGATCCTCTAGTAACATTGTTCTCTCCTTTTGAACCCCAGGAAATCACTTTACGATTTTACCAAGTATCTCACAGTCTGTGAAGGCCTCAGAGTTACAAAGGAGAACGCTGGCATCTCAGAGAAAAGGCCACAGGTGGCCATGACGGAGGGCTTTGGTGGGAGTAGGGGGCGCGGCTGGAAGAGGCAATGAGGACTCCCTCTTGGTCCTCCATGTGGAAGCCCGGAGAGCAGCATGCCCGCTAATGAGGGCTCAGAATTTGGTGCCACTCAGTGCCATGAAAAATACCCACGGTTGATTTGGGCTTTTGTTTCAATCTGATAAAGTTTATCTTTTACCAAGAGTGTTTGTACGTTTTCATTCAATTAATAAGCTACCGCATGTATTTTCAATTTTGACTTGCTTTAAGACTTCATTTATAAAATTCCTTTACTACTTGTCTCCTATAAATGAACTACATCTTCCTTCTTCTTCTAATGTTTAGTGTTTTTCAAAATTATAGAACTTATAGCTAATCTCAAGGGGTTATTTTTATATTTTTTCAAAAGCCTACATGTTCATAAGAGGAATTTTGTGCACGATTATCCCCTTGAGTGCACAAAACTGTTATGGAATGTTAAAAAAGAGAAAATTTCATATTTAATGAAAGATATTTAATATTCACATAAGATGTTACTATATTTCAACCATTATACCTACTCCTTACTTATCAACAAGACCATTTCCCAATAGCTGTGATGTGACAATGGAGGAGGATTACATCAGATCACAAAAGGGAGGATGACTATATCATTACATAATGGCCAAATTACAACATTACATAATTGCCAGTTTGTAATTATATAACTACGAAATTGTCCATTAACGTACTGCCAAACCACTGAGAATCAGGGCCTGGTTGGCCCATAAACTTAACTATCACCGCCAGTGTTCTTTCACCCCACACCCTGGCACGTGTTACTGCCAGATATTATCTTGTTAATATGCAAAACAGATGGAGTTTTGACTACTGTCATTAATGTACAATGTCAGATAACGAGACAGTCAACAAGTGAGAAGGCGTACATAGAAATCCATGTGCTAATGACTTGTTTCTTGAGTGTTTAACTTTGTGTCATGTTGGTTTGCATACAGCAAGTCACTTTTGCAAGAGAGGTACCTGGGTGGTATCTTTTGGGGTGGGGTGGGGTGGGGGTGGCAGTGTTCTTCCATACGATAGGAAACCTGGTGGTGTAGTGGTTTATACATCGTGTTGCTAACCACAAGGTCAGCACTTCAAAACCTCCAGCAGCTCCACAGGAGTTAAGACGAGGCTTTTTCACTCCCATAAAGCTTTACTCCCAACTCCCATAGATATTGGAAGCCCACAAGGGGAGGCGTACCTATAGGGTCTCTCTGCGTCTGAATCAACTCAAGGGCAGCGAATTTCCATGGATGAGAATGTCTTTCTGTTGCTTTAAGTGAACAAGTGATCTGGTTTTCAAGCTGGAAGGATCTTCTTGTTAGGAATCTGATAGATTTCTATAGGCTGATGTAGGAGCCCTGGTGGTGTAGTGGTTCCTTGTTGGGCTGCTAACCATAAGGTCAGCTGTTTGAGACCACCAGAAGCTCCTCAGGAGAAAGATGGGGCTCTCTACTCCCATAAAGAGTTACAATCTTGGAGACTCACAGGGACAGTTCTACCCTGCCCTACAGGGCCACTATGAGCCAGCACTGACTCGATGGGAGTGAGTTTGGTTTTTCACTTATATGCTTACATACTCTTTTAATTAAGGAGACATTTTTAATAGGGCTTGGTTTGGTCTCTTTAGGAAGCCCAGGTTTCAGGCGTTGCCTTACGCCTTACACCAAGCTTTCCTCAGGTGGGTTGTCAATGAGAACTCGTATCGGATCCCCCAACAAACTCAGTGAAACCCGATACAACCCATGGGAGGCCTGACGAGGTAAGAAGTAGGACACACCTGGAGAAGGCAAGACCATTAGCCAGTCATGAGTCCCCAGGGTGCTACCGCAGAGCCCAGCTTTTTCTTGCTATCTCTGTTTGCTGACTCCCCCTCTCCCAATACACATATACACGCATACTCCTGTGTGTCTGTGTGCATACATTAACAAATGTGTGCAAATACAAACGACTGCTGGTTCTGGAATAAAGTGTGGCTGAAATGATGTTAACTATCCTCATCCATTTTCTCATTTGATAGTCTCTATAATTCCACCAGTTAGAGGATAGGATAGCTCTTTGGGGAATAAGGAAAACAAAGCTCAGAACATTGGTGTTATTTGTCCATGTCACACAGCAAGTCAGTGATCTACACAGATTTTTGGGCCCAGTTACTTTTACCACAAGGCTTAGGTTCTCAACCAGGCTCCGAGACCTTCAGACCAAACAGAATGCACTGACTGAGCAGCACGTGGAAATGTGAGAAGGTTTAAAGATGTCTGTGGGGAAATTCCTTTATCTGTTCATTCCATTTTTCTGCAAACGTATGGAAGCCCCTCTGTATGTTTCAGAGAACGGTCATGTCGAGTGGCGGGTTTGTCACAGCACCCAAGGGGGTCTAATAGAAACCTGGAGCCCTCTTCCCAGCAAGTGGAGAAGAATCAACCTGGGGTCCCTACACCAAGAGCCTCCTGTCTCTAACTATTGAAGCCAGGGGTCAGCGAAGTCTGAGATTACAATGAGGTCTCTCCTTCACCCCATAAATCAGCTTCGTGTTATCCTAAATAGGCAAAGTCCCAGGTTGACAAATTATGGCCTGTGAGCCACATCGGGCCCCTTGCCTGTTTCTGTAAATAAAGATTTAGTGGAACACGGCCACATGGATTCATTTCTATCTTGTCTTTGGCTGCTTTTGTGCTAGCGTGGCAGAGCCAGGTGGTACAATAGAGACCACAGGGCCCACGGAGCAAAACTGTTCACGATCTAGCCCTTCGACGCAGGTGCTGAGCGTGGTGCTGAGATTCCCCGAGGAGCAGCACTCACCGTGAAGACCTTCTCAGGCTGGCCCCGTGCTCTCATGTTCGTGTCATGAATTAACTTCAGGATCATCCAAGCTTCGTCATGTTTCCCGACCTAAGAAATACAAGGAGACAGCAAAGGGCTAAGAAGGGAGTCACTTCCGTTTCCTGACTTTCCTGTGACCGTCCACCTCCTACTGTCAGGCCGAACTGGATGGACTTGTGCAGCTAAGTTTAGGTAGTCTCATCGGAGCTGGAGCCCCCTGGGATATCATTGAGTAAATTGCCAATTGAATGGATGGGTCTAGAGCAAGGCATTGCACGTCTGGATGGTAGAAACTAATTTATAAAACCCTAAGCCCTGCCCTCCTCATTGAGTGAAAGTTACTTGCTTAGGGAGGCGCAGGAGGGCTTTCTGGCCCCGAGGCAGCATGTTGCTGCACCATCATGGAAAGCACATCTCCTTGAGACCCAACCTTCCGTCGCACCCTAGTAGAAAGAAGTAGATCCCCGACAAGGCAAATATACTTTCCTAGAATTCACAAGGAGCGTTTCCCACGCAGGGTACTTGAGCATTTCAAATAATAAGCATTACCTCCAACAAGAAACGGGGGCTTTCAGGCATGAAGGTGAGGGCCACCACGGCGCAGACACAAGGGAGCGCGCAGACGATGACGAACACACGCCAGCTGTGGAACTGGTAGGCCGACCCCATGCTGAAGCTCCAGCCTGGAAAAAGAGGGCAGGACGCGCATAAGGGGAGGCTCCTTCTTCTCAGGCTGCCTACTGGGAAATGAGGTCGCCACAGCCATCGTCTTACTGGCCACAGAAGCAGGGGCGGGGCCTCACCCACAATGCCCCGCTCCACTGGAGGACACTGAGAGCAGCCCCAAGCGGAAAAGTCTGTGAACCTAAGACAATGGCCTTCAGGAGCAGGTGCAACATGTGTTCACGTACCACTGAATTCCAAGTCCACGGTGGAGTAATCTGAGACAATGCTTATTTCTAAAGAGTCGCTATGCCACTGTTTGTTCTTCCAAATCATGCTCCATCCTCCCCCCCCCCACCCCATGGTTGTGAGACAGGAGACCGTCCTCTTGGTACTGTGTCCACTGTACTCTCTTGCTCACTACTTTTATATTTGACTTGAATCAAGGACATACCAGCCGAGAACAAAGGGTGGGAGGTGGGGTTGAGGTACTCCCTCCCACCTGCTTCCCTTCTCTTTTCCTCTCAGCGGGGTTGGCCCCCCACCCCCGGGATTTTCTCCATGTACACACAGTGCAACCGACCAAGAGGACTGTAAATCTGTAAGAGGTATTTTTATTACAACAAGAAAAGCATACTGTCCTGGGATGGCAAGAGAAATCCCTTCAAGACCTGTAAGGAAGCCGCTATGGGAATGCCTCCCTCATGGCTGAAGGCTGATGGCGACCATAGTTGTAAATGAGAATTAATGAGGGCGTATCCAGTAGACTGGAAAATGCAGAGTAGATTTATGGAGGCACAGATGGATTGTATGAGGTAACATTGTAATTCTAATAATGCTTGGTTCCGGGAAGGCTTTATAGGAACAAAAGTCAGGTAGTCTAAATCCCAACCCAAGAGAGAGTAGTACAATTATTCTTTGTAAACACAGGAGCCAACTGAGAGGCTTAGAGGTCATTTATGGAGGTGACGTAACTCTTGGCCACAAAGCCCGAGTAACACGTCAGAATCATCTCCATCAGGATTCAAGGCAGGATCTTCTACATCGGCGCATAGCTTCAAGGGTAAATCAGAAAGCATTGCTACAGAGTCATAGAAAACTGGCTGACCGGTGTCATAGTTACACAAGTTCATGTCAACTTGATAAATAAGAACGAAGGGGTAGAGTCGAGCCTGTTAATCAGATCACAGCCTGGTGATCCCTTCTTGTGGACAGGGCCTTCTCATGAGGATTCTGGGACTTCATCTCTTCCTCCCTGGAGGTGGGACACACACTCTCTCTGCTGCACATTCCTCATGTGCACAAGCCACATGGAGCCTGCTGATGGCAGCCAGAGCCCTGAAAATGCTTCCACTGCCATTGGACCCACTGGACTTTCTACCTACCGGCCCATGATCTTCCTGCATTCAGCATCATTGCATGCATTGTGTGAGTCTGAAGAGGAATTCATGGGCTAATATGGGAATTATGGGCCAATACAGAACTTATGGACTTTATCTGGACTGAACTGGAATTTTTTATATTAATTTTATTTGGGAGGAGGCTCTTAAAGCTCTTATCACAATCCATATATATATATCCATTGTGTCAAACACATCTGAACATATGTTGTCATCATCTTTTTCAAAACATTTCCTTTCAACTTGAGCCCTCACTGTCAGCTCCTCATTTTCACTTTTCCTTCTTCTCCATCCCTCCCTCCCCCATGTCCCCTTGAATTCTCCCAGGACAGCCCTGGCTACCTTCGAAGAATGAGTAGGTGCATGTTGTGATGGAAAAATAATTCCTTGGCACAACTTACCTAGCCTTTGTCTCACCAATGTATTTTCAGCTTCCTTAAAATTTCTTAATAAAAAACTCCCATGATTTTCCTGTATCCTTTGAGAAAATCTATCATAATTACCTCTTGGAAATAACCCCAAACAGTCCTATAACCTTCTGAGCCAACCTCTGCCTTACATTTCACTGACCCAGTAGATCACCTCAGAAACCACTGTTTTGGTTGGATCTGCAATTTAAGGCATCTTAACAAAATGAAAGTAAATGAGAAAACTTGCCTGCGGCTGTCACTGATGACAGAAATATGTTGAAACACTTTTGGGGGTGGGGTGAATAAATCTGTTTTGTATTAATCAGAACCTTACTAGTAATACTTTTTGACATATTCTGATACACTTGTTTAACCATCAAATGTGTTTATAAATGATGCAAACTTGAATGACATACTATTTCAATCTTAGATTAATAAAAATGTCATGGACTTATACTAAAGGTGGATTCTGTGGATTATCGGTTGACTATGCTGTTAACATTCAATCCCACTGCCATCGAGTCAGTTCTTACTCAGAGCGACCTTACAGGACAGAGTGGAACAGGCCCTGCTGGTTTCCAAGTCGGTACAGCTATGGGAGTGGAAAGCCTCATCTTATTCTATAGAGAAGCTGGTGGTTTTGAGCTGCTGACCTTGTGGTTAGTAGCCCAACAGATAACCTACTATGCCACCAGGGCTTAATCTCCAAGTTTTATGCAGCAGAATTCAAATGTCTCAAGTTTCCAAACAGCAGGAGACATCCTATGGTGGAATGAAGAAAACGCATCTTGTTCACTTCACATCTGATCTTCTTGCTTCTTTACAAAGAACTTGTTGTTTTCACTTTAAAAAAAATCATTGTATTAAGGGTTCTTACAGCTCTTATCACAATCCATCCATCCATCTATTGTGTCAAGCACATTTGCACATATGTTTCCACCATCCTTTTCAAAACAGTCTCTTTCTACTTAAGCACTTGGTATCAGCTCATCCCCCTCCCCACCCAAATCACTAACCCTTGTTAATTTATATATATTTTTTCATGTCTTATACCAACCGCTGTTTCCCTTCACCCACTTTTCTGTTGGTCATCCCCCTGGAAGGGGATTATATGTAGATTATTGTGATTAGTTCCCCCTTTCTGACCCCACCTTCCCCTTCCCTTCCTGGTATCCCTACTCTCATTATTGGTCCTGAGGGGGTTTATCTGTCCTGGATTCCCTGTGTTGTGAGCTCTTATCTGTAACAGTGTACATGCTCTGGTCTAGCCAGATCTGTAAAGTAGAATTGGGGTCATGATATAGGGGGGGGGTGAGGGTGGGAGGAAGCATTAAAAACTAGAGGAAAGTTGTATGTTTCATCGGTGCTATACTGCACCCTGACTGGCTCAACTCCTCCCTGTGACGCTTCTGTAAGGGGATGTCCAACTGTCTACAGATGGGCTTTGGGTCTCCACTCTGCCCACCCCCTCATTCACATTGATATGATTTTTTGTTCTGGGTCTTTGATACCTGATCCCATCGACACCTCAAGATCACACAGGCTGGTGTGCTTCTTCCATGTGGGCTTTGTTCTTACCTAGATAGCTGCTTGTTTATCTTCAAGCCTTTAAAACCCCAGACTCTGTATCTTTTGATAGCCAGGCACCATCAGAATGGCTTATGCACCCATTTTGTCTTCAGCAATTGTATCAGGAAGGTGAACATCACAGAATGCTGGGTTATCAGAACAAAGTGTTCTTGAGTTGAGGGAGTACTTGACAAAGAACTTGTTTTGTAAAGACTTTAAATCTTATTACTTTAAGTACTGGCTAAACAATAAAAGCCTGCGTTGGTTAAGCTGAGCAAACACAACGTTTTAATTGTCAGACGAGAGGACAGTCTGCAGGCACAAACTGAATACACGCTAAAGCACAAGGACAAAGAGGCAAGGTAAGTGATAAGAAGGTCTCTGGTTCTTCTGTGAACATAAATTGGTTCAGAAGATGTAATTTTACAAATTAGATGGTGTCCTCTCGCCTTACTATTTCCAGATGCCTCTCCAAAGGCTTCAGGGCTCTCCCTGGACAGCTGGGAGTAGGAATATTGCCCCTCTCCTTCCCGCACAGCTCATGAGTGGGTAGAGAGACGGATACCAATGTGACTGCAGTGTAGCAGATTCCAGCCTATAGAAGAAGTTGAACTACGAATAACAATCTGAGCCCAGGGGAGTCCAGGTCTGCTCAGTTCCAGGTGCAGCTTCTTTGGGTATCAATTCTCAGCTCTAGCAGCTAAAGTTTAGGACAGTCTTTGCTGCTCAGCCCCTTCTCTACTTGGTGAGCTGTGAAGCCAATCTTCTGGTCCCTAGCTTGATGAGTGTGTGTGTGCGTGCTTGTGTGAGTGTGCATACACCCATACTCTCCCTTTACCCTTCTCTCTCTACATTTTTTTGAAATATGATTTTCCTCTTAGTCTTCAAAATGATTTTGTATCCTTTTTTGGGGGGCGTGGAGTCTCCAACTGACCACCCCCTCCTTGTACTTGACCCCACCTTGTAGTTCTTGAGAAATAAATGCAGAGAGAATTTCATGCCTTCTGTTTTCTCATTCCTAACCCTACACACCCATCTAAATCCAGGCCGTCCCTGTGCTTACAGCAGGTGAACTGTTCGTGAGCTCTCATTGAAGGCCGACCTTTCCACTTGGGTTCTGGGTCCCATTCTGTGATAGTTACATAATCTGGTGTCAATTTGAGGATTCAGAGTGAAGGGGTGGAGTCTAGCCTGTCAATCAGGTAGTAGCTTGAAGACCTCATTTGAAGGCGCTAAGGAGATAATAACTCACTGGAGGTGGGACACGTGCTCACTCCCTGGGAGACATTCCTGTGGAGAAGATACATGGGGAGAGGCTGATGGAGCCAGATCCCTGGAGCTGGAGAAGCCACTCGGATACCTCTGCCAGAGCTGAGATGCTTACAAATCCACTGGATCCACAAGACTTCCCACCCACTGGCCTGTGATCTTCCTGCATTCAGCATCATTGCATGTGTTTCATGAGTCTGAAGAGGACTTTATG